GGGGGGGGCTCCAAAGAAGCGTATAGTGTGTATCTCCCACGCTATAGATTTGGAATAGATAGTGTAACTGGTGTTTATATGGAAAAGTGATTATCCTCTGCAAATATGACAACCGATTAGATAAAAAAAACACCCTAGAATATGGTTGATGGACCCACTGCAACACGCTAAGATCACTTTTGTGACGCATGGTCTATCAACCGGCCGGTTGATACACCGGAGTATTTAGCGATCTGGTAACAAAGAGCATGACTAAATTAAAGCAAATAGATTCCGTACCAATCAAATTTACCAGCCTGATCTGCGTACAGACCATAGACAGACACAAAATTCAAAATTATCAAAGAAAAGGCGAGTATTTTTTCGCCGGTCATTTTCCAATACTATAGTGTATGTTTCTATCTTCAAAACTGAAGAGTTCCATTATTGTAAAATACAAAGCAACGTAAGGAATAGTGAGTATCCGGAAAGAAGGCCATTGGTGGCACTCGGGATATAATAGGCAAAACATAGGTATGCCGGATAACACAATTACCTCAGAAACATTTTTGAAGATTAAGATAATGTTGTAGGAGTGTTCATTATGAATCTACAGANCCCCCCCCCCCCCCCCCCCCCCAGTAAACTTTGACAGGTGACCATTTAAGGGCCTGACACAAACTTCAACATTTTAACCAAAAATCTACATTTATACCATTTTTTTTACAGAATTTGTTAACACTCGCTCCGCTCGGCCATCAAAAAATATAAATACTCTACGTTATAAAATATAAACTGGAATAATACCGCAAACTCAGAAAACTATTCTACGTCTCACTCGATCTGTTTGTCAATGGAAATAATGTCAGATAAATTGTTGCTTTCTACGCTCGGCAACTGCTTGAAACAGTTTAGTATTACGTCTTCAGAAAAATAAAATCGCCTCTCTTCGCAAGGCTGGGAAATTATAAGTCCCAATCTCAGAAAAAAAGTTCTATATATATATTTTTGGTGGCAGAAAAGTAGTAGAAATGTAAAACCGACCTGACAATTCTTACTAATTAATTTTAGATAAGTGCAAAAATCTGTCTTTTTCTGAGTTAAAAATTTTGGGAAACACCCAAAATTAATTACTTGCCTCTGGTTTATAAGCTACCATTTCCTCCTGAGACAGACATCGCCTCATATATCAATAGATAGATGGTATCTAATCCGATATAAAATACTGTTACATTTTCTTTTGCCAAAAATTAGGGTAACAGGAAAATCAACCAACTAGTCAATGATACGTTTGGGGTACTGTTTATGTTCTTTTTCTTCCTTTCATTCTGTCTTTCTATCTCTTATGGCTATTCTCTTGTTAACGTTTTATTCTGAAGTAGAAATGCTTAGTTTCTTAATTTTCAATTGTTTTTTTTCCTTTTCATTTAAAATACCAAAATTTGCCAATAACCCGTGTGAATCTATCATGCTTATCTTTAATGAGCACCCTAGCGCTGTAATCCAATGCTAATATACTCGTGCATACCCTGAACTACAAAATGTCCTCATAGGCTGTAACTAATGGTGTCACATTAAACACTCCCTTGTACATTAATTTGACTGTACAAATAGTAACTGACTGACATTGTACTAAGGAGTACAATGTTAGTCTGTTATTCTCAGTCAAATCAACAGGTGGCAACCGTTTATTAATCATTGCTCTGTGACAGCACGCATGGCCACAAACATATATATATACATTTACATATTTTGGTTCACAAGGTATATCCTGTTATATACTAAATCTACTTTATACCTACATGTTATAGGACAAATGATCAAAGTTTAAAGGGCCTGTTTCAAGTATTCGTTAATTTAATCCTTGATACCAGATAGAGTGAGACCTTTTTATAATATTCTTGATATTTCAATACTAATTAGGTTAACAGTGCTCTAACAAGACTGATCTTGATAATAAACGAAGCGCTTGCTTGTTTTGAGATGGCCGCCACTGTATGTAGTCGGGCAACAGTTACCACGGGGCATGATACAGTAATAGAGATATGGCATATCGTCATGATCAATTAATATAGCTTCTTGAACATGGCCGACATGTGGCCTCTGATTGATTGACATATTTTATGGATGTACTCCAAGTGCTAACGGTCCCCTGGCCCTATGCTTATTTGTGAATATATCATTGCATTGCAAACTCTTTCCAAGACACCATTTGCGATTAAGGAGCAATTTGGGTGACTTTTGTGACTTTTGTAAAGCGCTTTAGAGTAATTTTACAAATTATATAGGGCGCTATATAAATGTTGTATATTATTAAGTACTGCTTTCAGGAATTAGAGGAATCTACGGCCGCAGTGTAGAAGACGCTTACTCTATGAGTAAATACAGTGGACAGCAACTTCAGAGGGCACTTACTTCTTAAGCAAAAGTAGGTTACGGCTGCCACAGAGGACGTTTACTATCGAAGTTAAAGTACAATATGGTACGTACTTTACCTAGGAAACTGACTTCAGAAGGATATTGAGAGTAGGCTACAACCGCTGCAGAAGATACGTAGTTCAGAAATAAGAGTAGGCGTTGCGACCGCTACATGGACGCTGAGTTTAGAACAGAAACAAGAGTAGGCGTTGCGACCGCTACATGGACGCTGAGTTTAGAACAGAAATAAGAATTGGCTACAAAAGCTACAAAACACGCTTACTACAGAAGTAAGATTAGGTTACTACCGCTACAGAGAACACTTATTTCAGAATCAAAGAGTAGGTCTCACATGCTACAGAGGACCTTGGCGTTGTATATTACCACTACACCGAAGACGCAAAAGCAGTTTAGGAGAGGACTTGACAGCAAAGAAGAAATAGTAGGCCCAGAACACTCAGAGGAAGCTACCTTCAAAAGTAATAGTAGTTTATGCTCGCTGCAGAGAACATCTGCTTAAGAAGTAAGAGTAGGCTACAACCACCACAGAGGACGCTTTAGTAAGCTATAGATCACAACAGAGTAAGTTTACTTCGGTTCTAAGTAATTTAGGCTATGGCCGCTAATGAAAACGCGTACTTCCGTGCTGAGTGTAGGCTGCGGCCACTACAGATACAGACGTTCGCGCGTGGTGCGTGTGTACACCTATTTCTAGTTCTATCCGCCAGTGGTACGGTCCGCGAGTTACCTTGGGCAGTTCAATGTCCTGTGATTGACGGATGCCCACAGAGAATGACACATATACAGTTCCTAGTACTAACCTGTTGCCGTATAACATGTTTTATTGGTCATAAACATGTCAATGGGTAGGGATGGTCATTCGTTGGGATTACATTTAGCAAATGCTTTGTTTGCAGTTCTATGCACTGCTGGTGCTGTTTAATTCGACCCATACTTTAAATACAATGATAAATGAGTAAATAAAAAGTGAAACTTTTATACAATTGAAAAATATAGCATCCAAAGGTGGAGTATTTCTCTTTAAAGATATAGTGAGATTGATAATGTGATTGTAGTCAAGGACAGCCCGGGTGATAATGAATTACGACCCTGTTTGACCAAGAAAAATCGTTTACCAAGGGTTTTACACAAAGATATTAGTCATTGGTACACATTTTGTCGTGTACGATTATCAGATTTATTTAGGGAGCTGAAAATTAAAGGAGAATTACCGATACATATGTTTATTTAAACTACATAATAGAATAAGTATCGAGTTGACAAACTAATTTTACACGATATATTGTATGAAGAATTAACTCTTCTGAGGTTTGCAGCACGTTCAAATCTCGGTTTGATCCATTATACCAGGTTCTCACTCCATTAAAAATTAAGATAAATACATAAAAGAAAGCATGCAACTAAAAAAATCAATAAAAACTAGATACCTTCTGCTTGAAGAACTTTATCATACAAGTAATAAGAAAAAATAATGACCAATTCTGTAGTCATTTTTCAATAGTAAAGCAAATGAAGACGCACCCGAACACCCTTCCTACTATTTGGGCTGTTTTAGAAAGAGAACTGTATTTTCTTTTTTATCCAATGAATATTAAGAAAAAGTTGTAAGATATTTCATGGATTTGTTCTTCATTTGGTCAAAACAATACATTGAATACAACATGACACATGTTCAATTCGTATTTGACTGGTCGTAGTAAAAAGAAAGAAGCAACATACGGATATATCATTGTCTATTCTCGGATATTCCTCATTAAAATAAAATATGGTAATAAAAAGTTTCAAAAATGATACGTAAACTCCCGATACTTAAAGCAGTCACTGGATCAGAGAATCTTAAATTAACTGTCAACTCCATAAGTTGAAACTGAAATGTTACTACTGAGGAAAGGAAATATTACAATCGTGAAATCAACGTCGCGAGATTATTGTAATAATGCTGTAAAGTGTCAGAGTTTGATTGTGAAGCGACGATCATTTTCATATTGTAGGTAAATGTCATATTCTAGTAGTTTGTAATAAGGCAACTGTTATCGTCAAACTGTGAGTAAAAATATCATAGAGCTTGTAGTGAGGCAACCATTATTTTCAAACTGTAGGAAAATTATCATAGAGTTTGGCATAGTGATGTGATCATTATTATAATGTTGTTGGGAAATGTTACAAGTCTCATAGTGATAAAACGATGACCATTTATGTAGGTAAATGTCATTAAGTCGTGTAGAGAGCTGATCATTATTATATACTGTAGGTAAATGTCATTAAGTCGTGTAGAGAGCTGATCATTATTATATACTGTAGGTAAATGTCATTAAGTCGTGTAGAGAGCTGATCATTATTATATACTGTAGGTAAATGTCATTAAGTCGTGTAGAGAGCTGATCATTATTATATACTGTAGGTAAATGTCATTAAGTCGTGTAGAGAGCTGATCATTATTATATACTGTAGGTAAATGTCATTAAGTCGTGTAGAGAGCTGATCATTATTATATACTGTAGGTGAATGTCATTAAGTCGTGTAGAGAGCTGATCATTATTATATACTGTAGGTAAATGTCATTAAGTCGTGTAGAGAGCTGATCATTATTATCATACTGTAGGTGAATGTCATTAAGCCGTGTAGAGAGCTGATCATTATTATCATACTGTAGGTAAATGTCATTAAGTCGTGTAGAGAGCTGATCATTATTATGATACTGTAGGTGAATGTCATTAAGTCGTGTAGAGAGCTGATCATTATTATCATACTGTAGGTAAATGTATAGCTTAATAGTGAAGTGCTCGTTACGTTAAAAGTTATGTCATCCAATTACTTTACAATGAGATAATCCACATTGATCGAAATGGAGTGTTAGGGGTATTATCCGTTCACTCCTATTATTTTTGTTCTTTTCATTGGTCGTCAAAATGGCGTAATCTGTTTCGGTTTGCCTTTCTGTATCTCTCCTCGCGTGTTGACTATGCGGCATATTTTCTTAACTGATAT